ACAGAGGAGAGGATTCCCTCAATCAGCCCCTGAGCAGGATAAGGAGATTATAGGCAAAAGATAATGTGGTCCATTCAGGACATACTGGGTGAGGTAGCCAGTGAGTTACGCTGAAGTATAGGAAAGGTCATCAGAAGAGAAAACCTTGCCTATCTGCAAAATAAAAAAAAAAAAAAAAAAAATTGTACTGTGTAAAAACATAAATATAAAAGGTACATTTAAAAATAAACCCATTGCTCTCAATAGTAGTTTTACTAAGGAAAGAGAAACAATACATATATAATTGTTCAGAGGAGCGGTATGCATGTCAAATAATACATTGGTAAGCAGAATTCTTAACCTACAGTTTCAGCTGACATAATTGATTGCTATGGGCTTTGGGAAAAATTAAAAATCTAAAAATTGTTCCTAGAATATGTCTCCCTGAAAGGTCTTGATAACAATTTTGAAGTGCACTATTTTGCTTCAGCTTTAAAAACACAAGGCGTGCAAAAATACACTTCAACAGTCCTAACTAGGAACTAGACCTGGATAATCTTTATTCTCCCACCAACTGTTCAATTCTTAATCTCTAGAAACATTCTCTGAGCTTCAGGTTTCAGATTAAATGCTGATGCAGGTGGTACCATTAAGAGACAAATCAAGAATATGTAAAATCCAGATGGAGAGGTTAAAATCCTCCGGATTCCCCTTCAGTCTAAACCTATAAAATCTACATTTAATAGCTGATTTTTCCAGAGACCATAAGATTTCTTTTTGCATACACCCTTGATGGAATTAATGAGAGAAGGAGAGAAAAGCATATGCTTAAATGCCTGGGGGCAACTAGAACAAAGGAAGAAATTCCAGTTTATTAACACAATTCCAATACTCATAGCATATTGCTTGCTCTCAATATTCCAGAAAGAACTAGCACTATACAATCCAATCTCTGTAACTAATGTGCTTATAGGCTTTAAGAGGGTGATATTTACCAGCTAAATATTGGTCAAAATAGTAGCTAACATTTAGACATCTGCTTTAAAGGGAAGCATCTCTTCCACCTGCTTCTACAGGCCACAAAGATACACTCTAGTTAACATATTACTGACAGGATGATGAGAAAGCTCCTGTCAGATGCTGGCCAGCCGGGTGTTTGAGACAAAATACACAGCCCCAGCTGACTAGTTAAAGAAAGTCTGGTGAGGTACAATTATAGAGGCATATGACAAGACTTCATGCCTGACTGATTTGAGAACCAATGACATGACTTTAAACAGCAATCTTCTCTACCTCTGGTCACAAAACAGCAATAAGTCAACTGATATACTCTTGTAATATCATGATTTATTGCTTTGCTTTGAATACATGAGACTTTGGTGTGATGTTCTGCTAGTCTACTCAAGATTCACTTGGGGCTAAAACATCTAGGACCTGCCTACAGCATGTATAAAATCAATGTTCTTGTTCAGGATTACCAGGAACCCTTCTGTGTGTAGTTGATAATGTATATACCAATAGAATAAACACTAACTTGTTTATGTCCCAATTCATAAAACTTAAACACAAAAAAATGTAATCATGGGTTCTAACAAAGTCCCACGCTTTAGTGGGCAGGGAGATGGGATCAATGGATGATGGGGATTAAAGACGGCACTTGTGGTGAGCACCGGGTGTTGTATGTAAGTGAGGAATCACTAAATTCTACACCTGAAGCTATGTTACATATATGTTATATAAATGGGTTTTTAAAAAAATTGAAAAAACAAAACAAACAAAAAAATACAACACTTCAGTGGGGAGGGGGACTCATTAAAAGTGTAAAAATGTAATACTACTCTTGACACTTCTGCTAACATATTTCAGAATTATTTTTTTTTATTTTCAAGTTAATGTCTATAAATTACAAATTATAATTTTAACTACAAACATCACCTAAGAAAAGATCTTTAAGTTAGCTGATTTCCTCCCAGTGTATCTTCACTAAAACACCCAGCAAGCTCTAAGGTTGACAAATATGGTTCTAATAAAATATGAGTTTTATTAAAGAGTAAACTCACACAAACAAAATTCCTAAAACTATTAATAAAATTATAGATATAAAGATGCGTTAAGTTACACGTACTCTTCCAATAGTTAAAATTTTGGCTATGATTTAAAACATGAAAAATGAGTAAAACAATATCTTGCATTAATACTAAATACAGTACAGTCTTCATGGTATATAAAATGAGAATGTAAAAAGCTTAAAAGTCAGTCAATTCATTGATACTTAACTATTCCTTGGATGTTTCAGAGGTTTTACTAAATTCTTCCTAAAATATAGTTTATTTCTAATTTACGTTATAAAACTAGTCTTTGACCTTAAATGTTACTATGCATGGAATTTACAGCAGAAATAGAAATAGATATATGAATTTTTCAAGATAGATTTAAGTAAAACAGCTTCCCCCACATAAGGGTAAGGAGATCATGAAAGCAAGCTTGAATTATGTTTCTTTTATCAGTACTACTGCCCCAGATAATGAACTAAAACGAAGCTGGTAACTTAGAAGTGACATCCCCATCAAGTTTTCATGAATTGTCTTAAACAGTTGGTAAAAGTTTCAAACATAAGAAACAACTCCCTGAATAATACCAAGCCTTTATTAAAATAATTTTATTATTTAATTCAAATAAAGTTAAAGGGTAGGCATGTTCATTTTTACTCTAAACTGCAGATCTAACCTACTATAAAATTATAGCTTATAATCATTAGAATCATTAGATTCAATCATTTGAATAGACATTGAATGTTATGCAGATACAATTCTCAGCACTCCAAATATATGTATATTATGTATGTATATATACATATGTGTTTCTATAGCTATAGAGACAGACATAGAAATATCTCCTTAATCTTTACAACAATCCTATGTGATTTATAACTACTATTACTACCATTCTCCCAGTTTACATGTGAAGAAACAGAGTCACAGAGAGGTTATCCAACTATTAAGAAGTGTTTACAAATTGCAATAAAGAGAAACACCAATATTTTATAATAATCATATACTCAAATTTATTTCAAATGTTTTTGTAAATAGGGAAGCGTATATGTTTATTCACATAGCTCTCTCCTGTACTTTATTTAACCTCTGCTCAATACTACCTCATTAAAGCTTTCCATGACCACCCTAGGTAAAATTGAGGCCTGCACCTCACCTTTCACCCTACACACACACTCTCTTTATCACTTATCCCTTGGTACTCACCATAATAAGACATAATAGCTATTTTTATTCATTCATTTCTTTATCTGTTTCATCGGTTCAGTATAAGTTCCAACAGTGTTTGGACTTTACTTTGCTTACTAATGAATTCTAAGTGCCTAGAAATCAGACTTTTGTATTTCAAGAGCTAGATTAAAACCATATATCAAAAAAGTATGTAGATATTGTCTAGTAAATACACATAGAACATTTCTAAGTCTGCAGAGGTTCGTAGGTCTTTTTGTGAAATGCTCAATACATTCTACTCTACCATATAGTAGGCTTCATGATAAGAATTAGTTCCTAGGCCTCTGAGACAGTTTGTACAATCTTTTTAATCTTCAGGACAATATCCATATAGAAATATTATTTATACTCTTGAAAAAAAACATGTTTAAGAAATAAGAAGGAAGAGAACAGGGAGAAGAAAGAATGGTTTTATTTCCATGGTAAATCAAAAATAGAAAAGCAAATATATAAAAAGTACCAAATGATTCAGATTAAATTTTTCAGTATCATTTTAAGAAAATGCAAATGACCTGCCAGGACTTGTGCTTGTTCTCTGATTGTACTACATTACATCAGGTCTCCACACGTAGTCCTTTAAATGTATATAATGTGTTTTTCAATATGTAGTACATTTTCAATTTTTTTTGGAAAAGTAGGTATATCAACATTGTAATTCAAAATCTCAAAACTGTATTTTTTCAAATAAAGGGTAATGGAAATAAACCAAAATTAGAATCAGGACACTCAGCTTCACTACCTGCTTGTAATTAGCTATTTGGCCTTTAGGTGACCATTTAAGCCTCTCTAAACCTACATTTTTTCATTGTTGAATACTACGTAGATATCCTACAGAACTCCTAAAACTGCTTCTAATGTACTAAAACTTTATAAAACAAAGTGTTTTTATTTCTACTATGGGAGAATGAAACATAAAAAGATTACCTTATTCTTATCAAGTAACCAAATTTGTCAGGAAGCAAATTCATACAACATTAAATGTTTTTAATAAATATCTTGTTCATTACTCAAAATTACATTTATATTTATGTTAAACATTTTAAAGTAAAATATGACAATTTTAATACTTAGTAGAAAAAAGTTACAAAATCTAGCAAAATACTTTTGAATATTTCTCTCTGACCCAAGAGAACTCTTATTCTCACTGCCTTTACCACAGTAATGAAGACCTTCCAAAAGAACATTTCAGTGAGTAGCATAAAACCTGTGATTAAAAAAACAGAATGCTACTTTGACTTTTAAGTTATTATCAGCCTGAAGAGCTCCTCCAAATCAGAACTATTATAGAATCCACTCCCAAACCCCTACTTGGCAACAAAGATGAATCTACCTATTACCAGGTTAGGATAGCAGCTATTATCATGGCCCCTTGATTTCTTTCAAGTAGTTCCAATGGAAAAAGCCACAAGTGAATAATAAAGATCTCATAATAGCTCTTAAGAATTCTTTATATGGTAGAAGGCACTAAAATGAACTCTGGAGAGTTAAAAAGAAAAAAAAAAAAACCCTCTCATCTCCTGATAAGAAAAAATAATTAACCTGACTTAATGCATCTGAGAAGGCCTTCTATAAATCAGACTTTTGTATTTCAAGAGCTAGATTAAAACCATATATCAAAAAAGTATGTAGATATTGTCTTGTAAATACACATAGAACATTTCTAAGTCTGCAGAGGTTCGTAGGTCTTTTTGTGAAATGCTCAATACATTCCACTTAAAAGGAGAAGTGTGAAGTACTTACAGTGCTTAATTTGCTAGAGGTAATAATGACGCGCCTCTCATGTAACATGCTGGCGTACAGTTGCAGCATATTATTCACATCCACGGCAACAAAATATTCTGTAAGATTTCTCTGTACAAGTGAAGAGTGATTGTGTAAGTTATAGCTCATGGTGATTATGAAGGAAAATATTTTATACATTTACCAACAAGTCTTAAGGTTCAAAGGAGGTTGTTATTAAAAATGGTATTCATTAAAATAATTAAATGTAATACTATTCTGCTGCTACACGAAGCATGTAACATTCTATTATTATTTGAAACATAATCCTACCCCTAGGAAAATGTTTCTCAGAGGGTAATCAGAGGATCACACATTTTCCACTCCCCCTTCCCAAGTACTTCTAAAAGAAGCCCATTTCCTAGGCCCCCATTGTAGACCTGCTGAATCGTAATCTTCAGGGTATGGCTCCAAGAATCTGTTTTTTAAGAAAGTATTCCTGGTAATTTTCATATACACTGACTGAAGTTTGAGAACTGCTGTTCCAGAAAATACATTTGAGTCTTTTTATGTTTGTCAATCACTTGGCAGACAGCATCATTGTTGGATACTATGTACTATGTACAGGAACCCAGAGGACGAGATGGGTTCATAAAGCAGATCTTTGGGGGCGCCTGGGTGGCTTAGTCGGTTAAGCGTCCGACTTTCGCTCAGGTCATGATCTCGCGGTTCGTGGGTTCGAGCCCCGCGTCGGGCTCTGTGCTGACTGCCAGCTCAGAGCCTGCAGCCTGTTTCAGAGTCTGTATCTCCCTCTCCCTCTCTCTCTGACCCTCCCCTGCTCACGCTGTCTCTCTCTCTCTCCTAGAAATAAATAAAACATTAAAAAAAAAAAATAAAGCAGATCTTTGGTCCTTTATTAAGGAAAATCCCTTTATATCCCACAACAGACCTGCTCTATGCTACCAAACCCAAACAAATCTTGGTGTTAGCCTAATTTGATTCCTTGATTTAATACTTTATACTATTTTCCCCACATATGAATAAAATTGGGATAAACTACATTAACTTCAATATTTAGATCCTCTCTTTCTTAGTTTTTAACTTCTGTACTCAAACTTAAGCATATCAGAAAGTTATAAAGTAATGAAGAGACTGAATAAGATATGATAATCAACTGAAACCTTAGTACCGAATAGACTATGACTTAGAAGGCCTAAACTTTTTCAACTGGGCAAGGAAACAAGAAATCCAATTGTTTCTTCACTTTCCAAAAGGCAGAAATTCTACCAGGACAAACGAGCAATGGCAGGGCACATAACAGAAACTATGAGTGAGTGATGCCGAATTTAGTGGGGAGAAATTCATTTGTTGTTTTCCGTCTCTGAAACCTATCTTAGCTTCAAATTCAACTCTTCATATACAAAATCACTTTTATGGCATTTAACATTAGTATTTTTCCTATAATATCAAAGAAAGTAATTTCTAGATGGAAAAATACTTCTCAACATAGAATGCTGTGCTAATAATCTATTTCAGGCCCATATTCAAAACAGCTTCATCTAGTCTTTTCATAGGACTTATCTGGACTCATCTGTACTAAATATACCACTGACAGTCTAGGTTTGATACTGGAAAATTCACAACTGTCTTCCCAGATGTCACTCACTCATAACCCATGTACTTTTGGTAAACACTTAGTAGGTCTGAAAACATTTGGGGAAGAACAGTAGAGTCCAAAAAATATAAAAGTATTTCTGGAATTTTTTTTTCCTACTGATGTATCTTTTACTGTTTATGGAATTATTTCCACTGATTCATTGTATCTTTCCAAGGGAAGTTAAAAAAATTACCTAAGAGAAAATTTCCTTTTCACACAGCCACCAAAAGCCTGTCACTTCTACCTGACATGTAAATCTTTCTAAAAAATATTAATTTGTAATAATTATTAAAACACTGAAAATATTTCTAATATGACTACATTATTAGGACTCTAATTAAAATACAACATTTAGCAATCATTTCTTCTAGTACCCCTAAAGGCCTACAAAATCTGTATCACTTAAATTAAAATCAAGGAACCAAGCCCAAAACACTAAGATATTCATAGAATCATACAAGTTATCTAAAATAGTACAGTCAGTTCACTAAAGAAACTATGTGTGAAATATTTCCCATTGCCAGTATCATTCCTCCCAAGAAGTAAAGTCATCTGAGATATTTTCTTCTACCTGATCCAGGGGTCTCAGGATGTCACTTATTACATATGATCCTACTAAACTATCTCATTGGTAGAAACAGTTTTTCTGATAAAATTTTCCTTACCTACACCCAGATATTAAGGGATTAAAGTAGCAGACACAATAAAGATGAAAAAGGGATAACACCATTATTACTTATTTCTTCATTATTTCTAGAAAAAGGGATAACACCATTATTACTTATTTCTTCATTATTTCTAATAAAAATGGATAGTTAAAATGTATTCTATTTCTCTATACAGAAATTCTTTTTTAAAAAAAATTTTTAATGTTTATTTATTCTTGAGACAGAGAGAGACAGAGCACAAGCAGCGGAGGGGCAGACAGAGAGGGAGACACAGAATCTGAAGCAGATTCCAGGCTTTGAGCTGTCAACACAGCCTGATGCGGGGCTTGAACTCACAAACTGTGAGATCATGACCTGAGCTGAAGTCGGACGCTCAACCAACTGAGCAACCCAGGTGCCCCTCTCTATACAGAAATTATTAAATGGTGAGATTGAAATAAATAAAATTCATAATATGCGTGGCATAAAAAACATAGAAAACAGAAACTTACACTCTCAGGAATTGTTGGGAGTCGACTTATATCTGGGGCAATGAAGTAGGAATGCTAATAAATAGAAAGAAATCACATAAGAAAAGTAGAATTAAAATTCATTAGAATTATATATACTTTGAGAAAAAATAAAAAAAAATACCAACTAAATGAATAAACGCCGAGGATTAACATTCAGGATTTGCTGAATTTGAGAGATTCTTCAATAAGACAGCAGGTTTATATGAGATTGAACAATAACTTTCTCATACAAAGAGTTAACTGTTCATTAAAACTATTTAATTTCAAAATTCAAATGAGAATCCTGGAAAAAGTTTATCAAGACAAAAATGTGTATTAATGAAAGATATATATGTGTGTGTGTATATATATATGTGTGTGTATATATATATACACATATATAAGTACACACAGCATATACACACACACATATAAACACATTTAGAGAGACTGGAAAATAATGAGGTTTGCTTACCCAAGAATAAATCAAAATCTATTAAGATTGCTGAGTTTCTATAAGTCACAACAAATTTCTGTTGTACATATCAGCTACTATATTATTTAATAATACTATGTTATTTAGAAAGCAGCAATAGAACATAATTTTTAGATATTTTTTAAAATATTTAAATGTAATTATCTCAAAATATGAGTCTCATACACCTACTAAACAAATAGTAATTAGCTTCTATAATGATCAAAGCAATACAACAGTTCATAGACTGACTTATATAAAAAGTATATTGTGTATTTCTTCATGTTCCCCATAATGATCCCAAATTTTACCACCCAAAATCAGCACAACTGAATCACCAAAGTTGTTTTATTTTCTGTTCATATTAATCTCCAAAACTGTTTTACTATGCTAATCATATAAAGACATATTTAACACTATTTTATAATTAAGGATTGCAAAAGAAACATTCTGGCCAGTATTGGGCAAGTTGAACTAGTCAGAACAGGCTAGTTAGCACAGTCATAATGTATAATTTTCCAGGGTAGAAGAACAATATGAGATAAATCACAAGGTCTCCTGAGACCTTGTGACAAAAATGTGACAGAAATCTCCTGCTGCGAATGCACTGTAACATTATGACTACTGACAAAGGAGAATATGCATAGATTTGGTCTTTATTATAAACTACTCTTAGTTGGAGGGCTTTTAAATAGTACTGCATTTCATAAAACTATGCTTTAAAAGATAGTATAAACAGAAAATATACTCCAAATGATTAATTTTTTTAAATGAGTCAAATTAACCATTTCTCAAAGGACTGGAGTGAGTCTTAAAAGCACAGTGAAAAAGGTAATTATTTTCTCAATTTAATAGGTGATTTTTAGAACCCAATATCCTTTTAACTCACCGGTACTAGGAAGGGCTGATCTTTCAGAACTTGCTCACTGGCAATAAATATCTCTTGGTTCTTATAATATATGAGAGAAAAAATGAATATTTTACTTTCATGGGGGTAGTTTACACAATTTGCTGTGTATTTGAGACAAATCCATGTAGCCACACTATCCACTGAAAGTAACATTAATTATCAATGTTATTTTAAATGCTATTTTGCTAATTTTATGCTAGAAAAATCTTAAAGAGGTATTTTCATTCTCAACTGAAAGTAGAAAATGCTGGAGATATTTGGTTATTTTGAAACATTAAAATAAGGATTTAAATTAAATATTAATTTTTCCTATAATCTCTGTGATATTCTCATAATTACAGTGTCAAGTCTTGAAAAATTCATGTGCTAGAGCACTCATGAAATATGAAATTATAAAAAAGTATTTAGTTTCCCAAGACTTTTCACATTTTTCTATAGGAAAATGTACAAACAAAATTTTCTTTCTACTTTGTGGAGGAACAAAAATTCTCAGGATGATCAATTTTAATTGGGCATCATAAAGCTAAAACCTCTAATAGTAGCTGAAGACAAGTGTTTTTAGCCCCTATTTTGCCACTCATTAACAGCACAGCACTCAATGGACACGGGACTTCAGTAATCTGTTGTTGAAATCATATGAAATTACTAAATGAACTTTACATGAATTTGAGGCAATATTCTATCAATCAGCTGATTTTGCAATTTTTTAGATATTGTATTGAGAAAAGGTACACATGATTTTAAAGCTACCCTAGACTATTGACTCAAAAGCTTCCAAGAAGGCTTAAATTATAGAAATAACTGCCAAACATAAAATAGGACACAATCACTCAAGTTCCCTAAACAAGATTATTTCAGCTATGATACAAACTATCTTCTCCATATGAAATAAAATTTCAATTCACTAACAACTAATATTTGTATAGTTTGAATACGTCATTTCATGTAATTCCCCAAACAAATTTCTCAAATATGGACTCATTCTATTTCTCAAATGAAGAAAAAAAATCATCAAAAGATATTAACATTTTTGCTTAACATTATACATTTAGTAACTTGGACTCAAACCAGTAACTTCTACTCTTAGGTTTCAGAAGCCTAGTAGTTTTTGGATTTACAATTCTTACCCATAAAGGTGAGGTGTTTTAATATCCAGTATTAAATTTTTTTTTTAATATTTTTATTTTTGAGAGAGAGACAGAGCGTGAACAAGGGAGGGGCAGAGAGAGAGGGAGACACAGAATATGAAGCAGGCTCCAGGCTCTGAGTTGTCAGCACAGAGCCCAAAGCGGGGCTCAAACTCACAAACTGGGGGATCATGACCTGAGCCGAGGTCAGACGCTTAACTGACTAAGCCACTCACCTGCTCCATCAATATCCAGTATTTTTGAAATGTATTTTCATAAGATATTTACTCCTAAATTAAAGAGTTCATTTTTTAAAATCTCTCATTAATGCTCTAAGCTACCTGCCTCTATTATCTTAGCACCTACATTTTCTTAACCCTTTAAGAAAAGGTTAGAATCATTTTATAAATACAACTCCTTCAAAAAATGACACTTACTTTTGGTATTTCGGAGATTTTCCTTGTTCTTGTTATTTTTCCTTGGACTTTCTACTTCATTCCCACTAACCACACATCTTGTATTCCTTTGGTTTCAATGACCTACAAATCTACGTTTCCCCTTAACGGTTCCTTCCTCTCATTCTTTCATTTGATCTGCTTTCTTTTTCCATATAGTCTATTTGGGCAATTAGACCTTAGCCTTTGCTCTATTTTCTCTATATTCTGTCCTTTAAATAGCTCAAGTATTTCTACAACTATTTCTGCACATGACTCTCATATCTGGGTTAAAAATTCCAGGTTATCCTTAGCTTTCCAGTCCCCAATCTCCAAATGACTACTCAACAATCCCACTTTGGCAGTGAGCAATGAAAGAGGGTGCAGACATAAAGGTGCAGAGACCACAGGGGAAAAAGAATTCTTTCAGCTGTCAGCAACAAAGGAAAGTTTCACAAAGGTGGGAAGTGGCTAGTTCTAGACTAAAGATGGATAGGCTACAAAGAGGCTTCAGTAACACAGGAAGATGTACAAGTGAGAGAGCATGATGTTCATTCGAGAAGATGAACAGAACAATGTGACCAGAGCAGAAAATCGATTTAGGGAACAAAAAAACAAGTGAGACAGAAATGACAAGGTAGACTGAGGCCAAGTGGGTGGTCCAGACAACCTGGAGGAAGTTTGGACAAATTCTATAGAAATGGGGAGCATTTAGGTTTTCAGCAGGAAACTTTACACAGTTGAAGGAAGTTTAATCTGACAGACTTTTATACACTTTAGAGTAAGAACTATTTAAAGTGTTAAGCAGCTGAACTATAGTGCTGACAGTAAAAACAGAACAGAAAAATATCACAGGATACTAGTATTAAACAAAATTACAGGACAAATTTAAGAAGAAAGTTATTACCAAGCAAAGAATATAATGAAAAGAACAATTTCTTTATAGTGCAAAAAAGCACATGACCTATGAATTTGTTTACACATACTTCAATTTGCTTTTTCTTTCAATTTCTCTTGCATCATTATGTACTTTTTCTTCCTTATAAATCACATTATTATTATTATATTGGAGGAACGAAAAGGGGTGTAAATTAATATTAACACTTTATTTGGATTCCAAATATTAATGAAAATATCCACATTTGTGATAATTAACTTTGACCATTTACAAAATCTCCCAAAATATGACTGTGTTCGCTAAAAGTTTCAGTAGTAGATAATCTATACCACCATGGGCTTGCTGACTGGCAAACTTCAATCACATTTTCACTGTTTGGTGATTTTACTAGAAGATGTGTTGCAGTGTAGGGAAATAAGAAAAAACTCTTCACCCAGAATTTTTATCATAGAGTTAGTTATAGTATATAGTGCCTATTCTTATTTATATACTGTTTTCATTTTATGAGGGGTATTGTGCGTGTGTATGTATTTCCTATTATGAATAGGTTTCACCCAAAAATCAATGTGCCTCACAAAATATTCTCAAAGATTTGGTTACTTCTAATGCATAACAAAAAAAAATCTGTGACTTAACAACTACAAAAATATACATCCAACATATATTATAATAGCTGGAGGATATCAAAAAGTCCCAATATCACCATATAGTAATGCCATCACTACAATTAAAATTTCCTGGTAGCAGAGTTTCTTAAAGGCACACATGTTCCTAAATGAGAAACTGTTGACTCAAGAAAAAAAAAATTAATAACGGAATACTTACCACACTCAAACTGACAGGAGTGTTTGCCTTTGGTACTGGGTGGTTATACAGTGATTTGAGAGTTTCATTCAAATCATTCTCCTAGAGTAAAATTAAAAAGTACATTTTATAAAGGAAATATATACTAAGCAAGTAAAATTAAAACTATCAAGTAAAATCATGTACTGTGTCTTCTCATATTAGACATGTTTCACACAACTGCTTTCCACAAGAATGTTTCAAATAACTGAAATTGAAATATTTAAATTTAATAAATATTGAAAAGATAATCAAATAACTTTATCCATAAAGAATAATAGCAATATTTCCATTTAGTATAAATCTGTATTTCGCAAAACTTCATTATTATAAAATACACTGATGCTATCTATAGAGGAAATCATTTAAATTATTAAATCCAAGAACAGTGGGATTGAATAAAAATAACAATACAACTTTTTACCAGATCACTTTTAATTTTAAAATCTTAAACCTAATTTTTAAGGAATAGATACAATTTAGTATGATCATTGTACTAAGATACAACATACAGGTTACTCTAAATAGGTCTTTTCTAAACAACTAGTCACTATTTGACCCACAATAAATGGGATTAATATTATATAACATATATATATATATATTTACATATATATAAAATACATCCACCCTATAGGATGTATACAATAACAATGCATCTTGATATGTACATTCATGTTTTCTCAATAATACATATAAATCTAGGAATAAATATATGAAGGTAGCTTTTAAATACATGAGTTTTATCCTCTCTTAAAATGTGTAGGTGGGGGCAATGTACCAATTATTCATAAAAGGTAATAATTAATTTTAAGGAATTTGGATATGAGGCACATAACCTCTCACAATTTATCTTTTAACTTATCAAAACTTAATAATGTCGATTTCTGTAAGTGTTTGCGAAGTGTCCACACAAAACTGCCTAATGGAATTCTCTTTAGAATGACTTTAAGAGAAAAGACTATAGAATTTATCTCTTGACCATTTAAACAATGAAATATATCCACAAAATATTCTGGATGCTATTAATCCCGTTATAAACAAAATTCCTATGGCTAATAAAGTTTTTGTAAAGCCTAGCTTTCAAAATTACTTTAAACTTGCCTGATATTGATCAGGTAAGGGTAACTTCAATTATAAAATCTAAATATCAACCTCCATAGCCTGTGGCACTGGATTAGAAATAAAAAGAAAAAATGTTACAGTTATGGATTTACTTCTGTGAACTACAATGTATTTTCCTCGATCAAGATTACAAATATGGTATCCCTTAGTCCCTCTTTTCAGAACACTAAATTATATGAATTTGCTCACAGTATTTTCTTTTATATATTCCAGTATTACTGATGGTCTCATAGAGAAGGGCATAGTACAGGTACATAAGTGCTAATTTAATAATAATAGTTTCTAAAAGTAAATTATTCAGGGGCACCCAAGTGGTGCAGTCAGTTAAGCATCTGACTTCGGCTCAGGTCATGATCTCAGAGCTTGTGGGTTCAAGCCCTGCATCGGGCTCTGTGCTGACAGCTCAGAGGCTGAACCCTGCTTCAGATTCTGTTCTCCCTCTCTCTTTGCCTCTCCCCTGCTCACACTCTATCTCTCTCTCTTTCAAAAATAAAGATTAAACAAATGAAAAATAAAAAATAAAAGTACTCAAAATCAGGATGACTAACAGAATTCTGGTTTCACATGTACACCCACAAAAACAATGAACAGGAAATAATTGTGACACAGAATTCTAGTTTTGAGTTTCTTTTGCTATAATTAATTGGCCTCAGGACCAAGCTGAAAAGTAGCAGGATAGAGAGCACCTAGACATACATGACAAAGATTCATTTGTTAATCTTAAAGCATCTGCAAAGGTGGGAGGAGCTTATTCAAACTCTCTCCAAGGATGGAGGTGCTGGTGGGTGCCATTTTTGCACCCTCCCTCTACCTTCCTCGTGCTGGTGGGCATGTCCTGCCCCTGCACCATCCTTCAGCCCCACCAGAGCCGGTGCGAAAGCACAGCCGACACAGAGGGTGCCCCTTGAGCACTCGGCCAGGAACAACGGTGTTTCTGGGCACCACAAGTCTGAAACAAGAGAAGAGACTGTTCTTGGCAGGCTACCACCCCCAGGGCACTGTAGAGACAGCAGAAGGAAACACACCCCCAGTCTTCCTATTTACTTATCCTGGCGCTTCAACTGAGGGGCACAGTTCAGGATACCACACATCTAGAAGCTATGGAAGTACTCTCACTGCACACAGACCAGGGGACGTCATCTTTGCACTCTCCCGTGGACTTGTTACAGTGCACTGATACCTCCCAGAAAAGAGTCCATACACTTGTAGGAAATTACAATTTTTGCCACTGGTCACCAAGGGTACATACACCTCAAGATTGACTGGCCTGGAGACAAGCAGGCTTTCTGACTCATGTCCCTCAAAAATAATATATTTATTTACCTTGAAAGCTGCTGCCTGATGGTCTAGCTTCCAATCAGTCTGAAACTAGAGGCCGTTAGATCCCTCCCTCTGGAATATTCAGAGAATGTGGCACTATCTTAAAAACTAGAACCTATCAATAATGCATCAGGCTGCTCAGACAATCACAAAGGTTCTAGAGACAACCAAGAGCTAGAGCAATGATAAGGTTCATTTACACAAGGTCACTCTTTCTAGGATGAGAGAGATGGCTGTTAAGCCTAGTGTGTAGAAACTAACATAGAAAGCTGAACAAAATGAGGAAAAAGGAATATACTCCAAATGAAAGAACAAGATAAAACATCAGAAAGAAACCTACAAGAAGTGGCAATGAGTAATTTACCTGATAAAGACTTCAAAATAATGGTCATGATGATACTCACTGAAATGAAGAATGGATGAACACAGTAAGAACATTAAAAAGATATAAAATATAAGAAAGTAACAGACAGAAGTCACAGATATAATAACTGAACTGAAAAATGCACTAGAGGGGTTCAACAGCAGACTAAATCAATGATCTAGAAGACAGGGAAGTGGAACTCACCCAAACAAATCAGCAAAAAGAAAACTAATTTTAAAAAGTAAAGATAGTTTGGAGCACCTGGGTGGCTCAGTCAGCTAAGCGCCCAACTTTGGTTCAGGTCATGATCTTGCATTTGTGGGTTCGAGCCCCATATCAGGCTCTGTGCTAACAGCTCAAGAGCCTGGAGCCTGCTTCGGATTCTGTGCCTCTGTCTCTCTCTGCTCCTCCTCTGCTCACACTCTGTTTCTCTGTCTCTGTCTCTTGTCTCTCTCAAAAATAAATAAACATTTAAAAAATTGTTTTAAAGTACAGATAGCTTAAAAGAACTGTGGACAATATCAAGGAGAATAACATCCACATTATAGGGGTCCCAGAAAGATAAAAGTGGGCAAAAAACTTAATTGAAAAAATACAGCTGAAAATGGCCCTAACCTGCAAAAGAAAAGAGATATCCAGACCCAGGAAGCCCAGAGACTTCCAAATAAGGTGAACCTAAAGAGACACAAACATAATTAAAACATTAAGAGCTAGAGATTCTTAAGAGCAGCAAGAGAAAACAACATGTTGCAAAGGAACCCCCACAATTCTATTAGCAGATTTCTCAGCAGAAACTCTGCAGGCCAAAGGGAATGGCAGGATACATTTGAAGTGCTGCGGAAAAACAAAAACAAAAAACAAAAACGTCCAACCAAAAATACTTTACCTTGCAAGTTTATCATTCAAAATTGGAGAGATAAAGAGCTTTCCAGACAAACAAAAGCTAAAAGAATTCATCACCACTAAACTTGCCCTATAAGAAATGTTAGATTCCTAAGCTGAATAGAAAGCGTAATAATTAATAAGAAAAATATGAGAGTAAAAATCTGATTGGTAAAGTAAATACATAGTAAAAATAGTAGGTTAAATACTTAGAAAGCTGGTATGAAGGTTAAAAGGCAAAAGTGGTGGAAATAACTATAACTACAATAATTAGTTAAGGGATATACAAATAAAAAGATTTAAATTTGATATGAAAGCCATAAAGCATATTTTTATGGGGAGAGGGTAAATATGTAGAGTTTTAAAATGCATTCAAACTTAAGTTGCTATCAACTTAAAATAGGCTATTAAATATATAAACTTATATGTAAGCTTCATGGTAACTGCAAAGCAAAACTTTATAGTAGGTTCACAAAAGGAAATGAGAAAGGAATCAAAGCATGCAGCTATATAAATCCTACAAGAGACACATCATATGTGAGAACATAGACTGGACTGGAAGTGAAGGAATAGAAAAAAATCTTTCATGCAAAAGGAAACCAAATGAAAGTATGGTAGCTACACTTATACCAGACAAAATAGACTTTGAAACAAAGAATGTAATAAAAGATAAAGATGGGCATTATGCAGTGACAAAGGGGTCAATCCAGTAAGAAGATATAATATTTGTAAAGGGAGAAATTGATAGGAATACAATAATAACAGGAGATGTTAATACCACAGTTACATCAAATAATAGATCATCCAAGCCAGGAAGCTGGAAAATATATATATATACACATACATACAAATTATATATATGAGTGTACGCGCGCGTGTGTATATATATATGTGTATATATATATATATTCAAATGTACATGAAATGTACATGAAACAATCTTCAGGATACATCATGTGTTAAGCTATAAAACAAGTCTCAATAAATTCAAGAAAATGGAAATCATACCAAACAGATTTTCCAACCACAATGATGAAGAGCCAAAAATTAAGTCCTCCATTAAGAGCAACCTCGGGCTGCATGTAGCCCCAGTCCCAGTTCCAGGAAAAGCCTCAGACTGTTCAAGGCTAAAGCCATCCTCGGACCACCCTCAGTTCAGCTAATCAAAAAAACATTCCTATGGTCTAAGTCAAGGCTGGGAACTGCAGATACAAACTAGCCAATTTCTCACCAGTTGCCTGAACCCGACGTGGGCCCTTTGAACTCACCTCATAATTGGTCATTTTCAAAGGATTCTCAAAAGTCATGATTGGGTCCCACCAAAAGTAATGAACACCTCACAGATACTGAATGGTCAAAACTGTTACCATGGGTGCTGTACAATTGTAATTGGTGCTTATGTGATGATGGTATACATACAACATGTGCACTGTAACACCCCCACACCTTACTCCTTAAAAACCCTGTTTGCTATTGTTCAGGGCTTCACCTTGCTGCCACGACACCGGTAGGCAGGTGAGCCCCTGCTCGAGCTTGTAATAAAGACCCTTTTGTACTTGCATCGGTGTCGGCTCCTTGATGGTCTCTGGGGACTCGCAAATGGGGCACAACAATGGTAAGAATCTAGATATCAACTATAAGAAGAAAATTAGAAAGCTAGAAAAATCACAAATACGTGGAGATTAAACAACATGCTACTGAACAACAATGGCTCAACAAAGATATCAAAAAAGGAATAAAAAAATACCTTCAGACAAATGAAAATACAACCCACCAAAATCTATAGGATACAGCAAAGTAATTCTAAAATTTATAGTCATATAGGCCTACCTCAATAGCATGAGAAACATCAAGTACAAAATCTAACACTGCACCTAAAAAAACTAAAAAAAGAACAAATGAAGCCCCAATTTAGTAGAAGGAAGGAAATAATAAAGTTCAGAGCACAAATAAATGAAATAGGGTCTAAAAAGGCAAGGGAAAAGATCAATGAATTGATTCTGTAAAGATAGAAACAAAATTGACAAACCTTTAGCTAGACTTACAAGGGAAAAAAAAGAGAGTTCTCAAATAAAGATAGATCTATATAGATATAGATTAGATATAGATTAGAGATAGATAGATGATAGATAGATGATAGATAGGTAGATAGATAGATAGATAGATTAGATAGATCGATCAATCGATAGAAATCAAAACAGTGTTACTGGCACAAAAACAGACCAAAAATCTGTGGAACAGAACAGAGAGCCCACACATACATTGTCAACTAATTTATGACAAAGAATGCAAGAATACAGATAAAAGACAATCTCTTTAATAGATGATGTTGGGAAAACTACACAGTGCAGAAGAATGAAACTAGACCACTATCTTATACCATACACAAAAATTAACTCACAATTGTTTAAAGATTTGAATGTAAGAGCAGAAACTGTAAAATTCCTAGAAGAAAACATACACAATAAGCTCCTTGACATTGGTCTTGGTGATATTTTTCCGGATCTGATTCCAAAGTCAGTGGCGGGGGGGGGGGGGGGGGAGGCGGGGAGAGAAGGCAGGAAGGCAGGAAGGAAGGCAAAAAGTGAGACTACATCAAACTTAGAAGCATAGTGAAGGAAACCATCAACAAAATAAAAAGGCAATATACTGAATAGAATATATTTGCAAATCATGTATCCAATAAAGATTTATATCTAGAATATATAAAGAACTCATACAACTCAATACAAAAAATAGGCAATGATTTTAAAAATGGGCAGAAGATCTGAACAGTCATTTTTCCAAAGAACACATACAGGTGGCCAACAGATACATGAAAAGATGCTCAACATCACTAACCATCAGAGAAATGCAAATCAAAAGTACAATGAATTATCACCTAATACCCATAAAAACCCTAATACCTTTTCTTGTGAAAAGGACAAAAAATAAGAAGTATAGGCAAGGATGTGGAGAAAAGGGAACCCTCGTACACTATTGACAGAAATGTAAACTGGTGCAGCCACTATGGAAAACAGTTTGGAGGTTCAAAAATTAAAAAAAGAACTATGATCCAGCAACTCCACCTCTGGGTCTTTAGCTGAAGAACACAAGAACACTAATTTGAAAAGATATATGCACCACTATGTTCACTGCAGCATTATTTACAATAGTCAAGATATGGAAACAAATTAAGTGTCCATTAATGGATACATGGATAAAGAGGCACTGTACACACACACACACACACACACACACACACACACTGGAATACTCCTCAGCCATAAAAAAGAACAAAATCTCTCCAATGGTGACAACACAAATGGATCCTTAGGGTGAAATAAATCAGAGAAAGACAGATACCATATGATTTGACTTATATTCAGAATCTAAGAAACAAAGCAAATAGACAAAAAAAACTCATAGATACAGAGAACAAATTCAGTTGATGGTTGCTGGAGGGGAAAGGGTTGATGGGATGAGTGAAATGGGTGAAGGGATCAGTAGGTAATAACTTCCACTTACAAAATTGTCAAGGGCATATAGTGTACACCATGGTAACCATAATCGATAATATTATATTGCAAACCTGAAAGATGCTAAGTTAATCTTAAAGTTCCCATCATACACACACACACACATACACACACACACATGCACACATGCACACACACAGATCTGTAACTCTGTATAGTAACAGATGGCAACTAGAGTTATTGTGATGCTATTCCACAATGTACACAGACATAAAGTCGTTACGCTGTACACCTGAAATAAAGGTTGTCTGTAAATAATACTTCAATAAAACAAAAACAAAACAGAAAATAGCAAGTGTTGGGAGAATGTAGGGAAACTGGAACCTTGCACACTGCTAGTGGGAACGTAAAATAGTGACACCATGTGAAAAGTGTTTTGATAGCCCCTCAAAAACCAAACATAGAACTACCATCTTATTCGGCTGTTATACTTTATTATTCAGCCATTCTATTTCTGCGTATATATTCAAAAGAACTGAATACAGTGACTCACACAGATATTTGTACACTCATGTTCCTAAGAGTGCTGTTCACCAACAGCCAAAAGGTGGAAGCAACCCAAGTGTTCATCTCCAGATGAACCACTCAACAAAATGTGGTGTGCACATATAATGAAATCTTATTGAGCTGCAACAAGGAAAGAAATTCTGACACATGCTACAATATGGATGAACTTTGAAAATATGCTGAGTCCAGTAAGCCGGTGACAGAACAAATACTGTACGATTCTACTTATGTGAAGTACACAGTCAAATTCATGAAGACAGAAAATACAATGATTGTTGCCAGGAGTTCAGGGAAGGAGAAAGGAAAGTTGTTGTTCAATGGGGCACAGGGTTCCAGTTTGGGAAGACAGAAAAGTTCTAGAGATGAGGATGCTGATGGCTACACAGAATAATGTGAATGTGCTTAATGACAGAGAACTGTACAGTTAAAGATGACTGAAATGGTAAACTTTACGTTATGTATATTTTACCACATAATAAAAAATAAGGAAAAACATAGCTTACCAGTTCCTTAGCCAAGTAATCTGCCAGAGTATTTAGAAGCTTGTAATATACTTCAAACCATGGCAGGTAACTGTAATTAAAAAAAAAAAAAAAAAAGCTTTAAAAATATGTATATATGTATTCAATTGTGCACAAAAAACCTGTACTTCTTATTAACAAATTAAGATATTAGTATATTTAAAATCTATTCAAAGGTTTGTTTAATATATGCTTTTCACGTAGAAGAATGGTAAACCACAGAAACATCAGTGCAGTTAAGTATCAATTAACAAATATTTTTTTTTTTCAAAAAGTATTACAACAGGCTACTTTCTAAAAGAAAACAGTGTGATGCTTTTACCACATAATTGTATCCTAACATTATATATATATAAATATTGTATATAAACAAATTTAAAATTTAAAAACCAATGAATAAAGCTTAGAAAAACAACTTTCTACCTGCATTTTTCATATAATATCTGATTTATTAATGGCTATGAAAGATGCTTTTTGATTCAAGAGTGACCTAAAGTCATAACAGAAGAACAGTTAAGTATTGTATCTTTATTCAGCAGAATTGTTATAGAGTTCTTTAAAATAATAATTATAAATATAACTAATAATATCAAAGATGCCTATGATATTTTAAAATATCTACCAACTTCTAGTTAAATCAAGCACACTGATGCGTGCATTTATCTCTGTGCCCTTTGAAAATGGCACTAAAATGACAAGTAAATGAGTAAAAGGTGTATAAATTAATGAGGACAAGAGAAATGAAGAAAAAAGTAATGGAGAGCAACACAGGTAAATGGTTTTGTGAAGACGGAAAGGAGATGAAGAATGATAACTGGCTTAGCAAAAGAAAGAACCCCAAAATCTAGGTGCCAACAGAAGGGAAAATGACCAATAGCCAGTATATTTGCACACCTCCCCCCATCATAGGATCCTGAAACACTGATCTAGAAATCTCTCAATGAAGACAAAAAACCTTCAGAGGTCTTATTTTTTTTTGGAATGAAACCCACCACTGCATGCACAAAAATCTTTAATGCAGTTTGGTGCCTCTATCTTAAATATGAGTCCAACCACTAGACACTTGAGGAAATACAGACATCAATACAAACATAAAAGGAATTCCAAGTAAGCACAGGCAATACAAACAACAGATGAGAACTCTAAAAAGTTATAACTAATATTCTTAGGAGCTGAATAAAAAAACAAGATGCTATTAGAATGAAATTTTAAAAAGAAGTGAAAAAAAATTTAGACAACAGAAAAAACTCTTAGATATTCAAAATACAAAAGATGAAATAATTAAAATCAATAGAAAGGTTAGAAACCAAATCAGAAATATCTGTTGGCAACTAGAATACAGAGATAATAGGAGAGTAAACATTAAAATATCAGGGCATCAGTCTCAATTCAATCATGTAGTTGACTAACAGTAGGGGTTCCAAAAAAAAAAGAAAAAAGGGAAAACAGCAATGACATTTTCTTTTTTAAAAGTTACTGGAAAAACTCCTAGATATGGGTGTCCAGAATGAGGGAGTCACTGAGCGAAGAGTAAAATAAATGAGCCATACCAGGATATCACAGTGAAATTCCACAACAGGGGATAGAAAGCACCTTAAGAATTTCCAAAAAGACAAAACAGGTAACATACAAAGGAATTAAATTCAAAGTGCCACTGAGCCTCTCAAACAGGCAATCCCAGAAAGTGAGAAGATAAAGCCTTCAAAATTCAGAGGTTAAACCCTTTTGCAACCTATAATTCTTTGCCCAGAGAAACTACCAGTCACAGGTGGGACTAGACTGATAACATTTTCAGTTACCTCCTTTGCATTATTTTTGAGAAACTACTAAAGGATGGCTTTAACAAATTTGAGACAGTGAAGCAAAAAGGAGGAACGCCAAGATATAGGAGACAAGAAATCTAATCCCACTAAGAACAGTTAAATACAAGAATAAACTGTACAAAAAGGCCTACAGAACAACCAGACTACGGCCTTTGGGAAACTTGAAAATCAGACATTAGTATAGGTATTCTCAACTTTCATATTTAAATTATTCAATTCTTTAACTTGAGTGCTTAGATGGTTATTCTACTGTATCTCTCACACGAAAAAAAGAAAGAAAAAGAAAAAGAAAAAGAAAAAGAAAAAGAAAAAGAAAGAAAGAAAGAAAGAAAGGAAGGAAGGAAGGAAGGAAGGAAGGAAGGAAGGAAGGAAGGAAGGAAGGAAGGAAGGAAGGAGAGAGGGAGGGAAGGAGGGAAGGAAGGAAGAGAGAGAGAGAGAATTTACTATTTTTAAATTATCATCTCAATACCATGCAAATTACCACATCATATTTTCTACACTCTTTATAACTCAAAGGAAATAATTTTCATGGAGAATGTCCTTCTACTAAGGCACACCACAGCTCCTTGGATACAGCGCCATTTCTTTCATTTGCAAGCATTTCATATTCATATTTCAACTTTTAATGGCCTGAAGAAAGTGTTATCTTGGGAAAATTTCAATATGTCATGTAGTTCAGATCTGTATGTTCACATAAGATGAGACCTAATCTATTCAAGGAGGATGCTGGTCTGTTTCTATCTTGCTCTCAAGAATTTTTAGATTAAGCAAAATTTACTGATTTTAGACGGCTGCATGTCTACCTGTTAATCCTTACATTGTCATTTCCACCTACTTAAATAATGTGAAACCTTTTTAACCCTAATTCTTCCTTCTTGGTCCATTATAAAAATAAAAATGATCATAAATATATCATAATTAGAAGTTATTAGGGGCGCCTGGGTGGCTTAGTCGGTTGAGCGTCCGACTTTCGCTTAGGTCATGATCTCACGGTTCGTGGGTTCGAGCCCCGCGTCGGGCTCTGTGCTGACTGCCAGCTCAGAGCCTGGAGCCTGTTCCCGTCTGTGACTCCCTCTCTCTCTGACCCTCCCCTGCTCACGCTGTCTCTCTCTCTCTCTCCTAGAAATAAATAAAACATTTAAAAAAATTTTTTTAAATAAAAAAAAAAGAAGTTATTACAAAATAAGATAATCTTTTTCTAGACAAAATACCTTAACACTCTTTTTGTTTTGTATGCTTGTCTTTTAAGTTTTTATTTTAATTCCAGTTCACATAAAGCATTCTATTAGTTTCAGGTATACAATAAAGTCACCAGTTACATACATCACTCTGTGCTCATCACAAGTGCGTCCTTAATCCCCATCACTTATTTAACCCATCTCCACCCCATTCTCCCCTCTGGTAACATCAGATTGTTCTCTATAATTTGCTTTGTCTCTTTCTCTCTGTCTCTATCTCTATTTTTCCACTAGTTTTGTTCTTAAATTCCACATATAAGTGAAATCATGTGGTATTTGTCTTTCTCTGACTGACTCATTTCACTTAGCATTATACTCTGTAGGTCCATCCATGTCATTGTAAATAGCAAGATTTCATTCCTCTTTATGGTTGAGTAACATTCCATTATATACATATTTATATCACATCTTCTTTATTCATTAGTCAATTAACGGACGCTTGAACTGCTTCCATATCTATTGTAAGTAATGCTGCTATAAACACAGGGGTTCATTATCCCTTTTAATTATTGTTCTTGTATTCTTTGGGTAAATATCCAGTAGTGCAATTGCTGGATCATAGGTAGTTTTTTTTTTATGTTTTTTATTTATTTCTAGGAGAGAGAGAGAGAGACAGAGTGAGCAAGGGAGGGTCAGAGAGAGAGGGAGTCACAGACTGAAACAGGCCCCAGGCTCTGAGCTGGCAGTCAGCACAGAGCCCGACGCGGGGCTCGAACCCACGAACCGCGAGATCATGACCTAAGTGAAAGTAGGGTGCTTAACCGACTAAGCCACCCAGGCGCCCCCCTTTTTTATTTTATTTTATTTTATTTTTTGGTAGTTTTACTTTTAACTTTTTGAGGAATCTCCATACTGTTTTCCCACCAATAGTGCAAATATGTTTTTAATGTTCTGATTTCCTCATCTTTACATTAGTTTTCATTGGTTATCTTCCTATTCCAATTTTCTTTCAAATTGTGAAGATGAACTAAAACACAATTTGTCATAAAAAACTAATTTATATAGATAAACACAATTTATATGTAAGATTATTTAACTATTTTGAAAATAAAACAAATCAAATTAGGAAACTGATTAATATTTCGGTTACTTCTCAAGATTTAACAGTTCTTATTTGTGTTAGGTATTTTGGTATCTACATAATTACTGCTATTTTTTTTTTAATCTCCAAGGATACTAAATCTTACTGAATTTCATCCTGGTACCAAGCTATGTGCATTCTTGACACAGGATATGCTGGATTTTGTTCTCATGTTCATTTTCTTAATTATCAACTTCAACACTCAATTATGTTCACAGCACTGCTAGACACGATGATGTTTTATAACTATCCCTAATATGATTTCATCTATAAATCAGGCTAACATTATTTTTTTAAAAAACACAGCAACAAAATTTAATTGGGATATTCTCAAAGTCATGTCTAAGGCTCCATCATGCTCTGTTATTTCTATTTGGGTAACACGACTTAATAGTCAGTTATATGCCTATCTAAGGAGGACAGAGAAAAATCTAAGAAAGAGACTCTAAATATGTCAAAATAACTGGATCAGCAGGGAATAAAACCTCTTAAGCACTAACTATATATTTATAAACATGCTATGTACTTTGTATGTATTATCTCATTCAATTATTAAAATAATGCCATAGTGTAAAATTGACTAAACTAAGGTAAAAAAAAATATTCAGGGTCATAAAGCTACCAAATGGCAAGACCAGGATTAGAACTCTGATCAATCTGACTGAGCACTATTTGCTCAGAGGTCCACTGTAGATAGCCCATTACCCAATGTAGCACGTAGTTCGATAATATCCAACCTTTGAATAAACAAGTCCAGTGACCAGACATTTTCAGGCAGCTAAATAAACTATGATAAAATATTCCAGTTTAAACCTAAATCAGTCTATTTATAATTTCTATCTGCTTAAGAAAATTCTTTCAAATTTTGTTTACCTAATGTTCAGAGACTTTTAATTTTTTTTAAATATTT